TCATGTTTCTGTAAGTCTAGACTACAGAAAAATTGGGTTAATTGTAGGTCGAGTCTAGGTGAAATTTATGGGAAGGTTAATTTAGTTCTGATTTGAAGAGAATTCGCGGGAGCTCAAAGACCCCCGTTTTGCAGAAAATGAAAGACTCCGGGTATATCGCGAATAAAAGGAGAGAGACGCCGGAAGTAAAATCTATCGCGCGCCATTTCGGCGGAGTCGGCCACGGCTCGTCGCGCGCTTTGTCCGATTATCAATTTCGCGGAAACGTTCGCGGCCTGAAAATTCTCGGGTCCGTCTATTGTCGTCGAGCTCTTTGCCGCCTCGGGATTCTTCGAAACTGCCACTCGACACCGCAAGACTCGACGTCAAACGACAAACACCGGAGTCTCGAAGTTCTTGCGATCGCGCCGATCCGACGGGTAGTTCGGGTAAAAAACTGGGTCACTGGATGGGTACAGAACATCACGGGGCTCGAACGTTCCTGGATTTTCTATTAACTCGCGGAGCCCAGTGAATTCTTTAAAAAGAATGGTACCTCGCGCCGAACCGACGGGTAGATCGGGTAGTAAACCGGGTCACAGGACGGGTACGGAATGAGATGAAGCTCGATTGGTCATGATTTTTAATTAACCTGCGGAGCTCAGTGAATTCTTTAAAAAGACCAGTACCTCGCGCCGATCTGACGGATAGATCGGGTAAAAAACTGGACCAGAGAACGGGTACGGAATGTGATGGGACTCGATCGGTCCTGATTTTTAATTAACTCGCGGAGCGCGTGAATTCTTTAAAGAGAATGGCAGCTCGCGCCCCGACGGTAATCGATGAACCTTGTCGCGTACCGGCGTAGTTTTCGTCCGCGATTTCAACCCGTCACTTCGGACACAGAGGATCGGGTCGATTCGGTGAAAAATTGAGAAGCGTGTGAAAAGGGAAGAGCTGAGAAAGTGAACGATTTCGTCGCGTTTCAATCCATAAAATGGGTATCTTTTATCTTGGGTCATTTGTGACCCGAGAACATATCCCAATATTGGAATGGTGGATTACTTGTGTCATGTAATGGAATTACATATCCTTCAAAAAAAAAACATCGGGTCTTCAGTGACTCAGCCTTAGGACAGAAAAAAACTTTATTCCACTATTTTTTGTGAAACCTATTTCAACTTTCCCCCAGATCTACGGATCCCCAAGTGCTCGATCCATTTCTGTCTCATTACAAGACCGATTTCAAATTGTCCGCACGTCCATATATCTCCTGTTAAACGTTCGCTGCAATTCAACGAAAGGCAATAAGTCCGCGGTTTCTTCCACATCGTATCCCTTACCTTCTCTGCCGAACTTGCGTTTCTTCTTGCCGAGGCCGGTTCCGGCGGACGAGCTCTTGCCGGAGCTCTTGTCCTTGCTCTTCCAGCGGATCAGCATGCTTCGTAATCGTATGAGCGTCTTCGTAACCGGCTGACGACTCGCGGGGTACGATCCCCTCACGGTTTCGCGGTATCGTCGCGACGTTCGCGCGATCGTACCGGCCTGCTGCCCGTCCCGTTCATTACACACGCGTGTCCCGTTTCCTCTCGTTCGCCTATCGGGCCGCTTCGAACCGCAGCTGACATACGCGACAGAGACCCCGCTACGGTGATCAAGATCGATCGATCATTCTTCTGGGGGTCTGGGTAGGGTCCTCCGGAGGCTCCTGTCGAGAGGGAACCACGATTTCTGGGGGGTAGCGGACAAGCACTCGCCGTGGCGTATCGGTTCAAGGCGAGCCGTGCCGGTTCCGGTCGAGGCGAGCGCAACAATCGCGGCGTCCCGGCGCCCATGACGTCGCCATCTTCCGGTAGCTGTGCGTTTCACCGAGGGTGGGTGTACTCGAGCGTGCCGAACCGGATCACTGGGTCAAAGGAACGAGGCAGCCGACCCTTCGAGGTTACCATTCGCGACACCTCCCCTAACCGAACTCCACGGGCGGTCCAATGGGGTTCGAAGGTCTTTAACCGGGGTCAAAGTACGACTGATGTCCCAAACGGATCACTGTACAGTGATTTCGTTTTGGTGGGAATAGAGGTTCGCGATATCAGAGGATATCTCTGATTGGAGGATTCGAGAGTTTGTATGCTGAATCCTGGGATACCCAAAGTTTCCAGGGTCCGATGCAGAGAGGTAGGGGGCGACGAGTCCGACGGATTCGTAAATCGATGCCGTGAACACGGTTACAGAATCACCCGGAAAAAGAAGGTGCAGGAAGAAGACGTGGAATATTATTAGATGTATCCTGCTCATGGTTCTGATGATGATAAATAGCTACCTTGTGGGTCCTATGTACAGCTACTCGAGCTGATCTTTCCTAACGAACAGACAAGTCTCTGAACCTAGACACTTTTTACACCAGGGTAATCAACAGCACTATTATATCGGCAGCTTGTCTGAAGATAGCTACCCGAGATTATCTTGCCAAACCGAAATTCTTCCCACACGAGTATGATCGATATAGCACCAATATGAAGAAGCATCCGTAAGTCACATTATCACTAGGGAGTACAGAGGTCTATCGAGTCGATTAGGTCGTGACCAAGGTGGAAGGACACCGGAACGATCCTTTCCAGCCAGACCAACGAACCCACGTTACGAACGTGCAGACTTGTAATCCGATCAGGGTTACGATTCAGCACCGAACACTCGAACGAGGACACCAGGGCCGTACTGTTTCGATTTCGGGTAGGACGACGAGTCGACTGAAACACGGGGCGGCTAGTTAGGAGGCTGGGTGACACAGGCACACACCGACGACTACGCGCTGGGTTTCACGGGCAGCCGGCTCGGCGGCAGCACCGGGCCACCCCTCAATCCCCCCCCCCCCCGACCCGAATTGCACCGCGTTTCTCTGCCTCGGCGATGCTGCGCTGCGCTCGAACGGGTCACCGTTGGCTCCCCTTGACGAACGTCCACACGAAGGTCGCGATCGATCGTTACCCCTCGAGATGAGACGACGGAAAATGTCGAAACTCCGGGAAAATAAGGAACACGACGACCACAAGAGCCGCCGCCACCAACACCACTAACCACCACCACTACCACAAGGGCCGCTACACCACCACTACCGCAGCAGACAGGGTGCGCCAAAGCCGGTACCAGCGGTGGCACCACCGTCGAAAAACCGTCGAACGGAGCGTCGTCGTCGCTGGGATCTGCCCGAGTCCCGGCACACCGCTGCAACCTTTCTCTCTTCCAACCACTTGTCCGACGGTCTTCCCTGGATTTGTCTTTGTTTCCCGCCCTCCCACCCACTCCTAGTCGACCGTTCCTCTTTCCCGTTCCGTCTACCCGCGTGACGTCACAGGAACGAAGTCGGGGATCGATCCCGAACGCCCCCAACGCATCCTCTCTCCTCATCCTCCATCCCTACCTCCCACCCGCCAACCCTTCATCTCGTTCGCCTTCGGCCGAACTGCCGCGACTCTACTCACTGCGCGGAAAACATTCGACCGTTTCATGACTCCTCTCATCCCCCACCCGAACCATCGTTTTTCTTCCCTTGTGGAGGAATTTCGAGGAGATGGAGATTGAAGGGAGGCTGAAGATTGACGTTCGATGATCGTTAGATCTCTGCGAGTATTTGATTGGCACCGCTGCGAAATGGGAGAGAGTACTGTATTTTGATCATTGCGAGATGAGACTTTGGCGGTCGTGCAGAATCTCGTATAAGCCTAGTTCCAAGCGTTTGATGTCGACTGTCGGCGCGATTATAAACACACAGAGCCTATTTTCGAAGATTTACATTATAGGTGGAGGTTTCTGTAAGTTTTATAGACGACCTAAGGGAATTTTCTACTGGTTAATTTAAAGTTTTGGTGCGCTTAGACAGGTCGACCTGATTTTCTGAACATTCTTAGGTCTCAAACAAGAAGGTTACTATAGGCTTTGTAGGAATTTCCTACAGGAAGATTAAAAATAAATTCATGGAAATGTTTGCCGTTCTTATACAGAGGTCGATCCGATTTTCTGAAAATTTCTAGGCCTCATAGAGAAAGGCTTCTATAGTCTATAGAAAAAGTACGAGAATTTCGTAAATATAATGCAAGAAAGAATACATGGAAATTTTTTTGGAAAAAGTAGGACACGAAGAATAATTCCTCCATAGATCCGACGGGAAGATCGTCGAGCCTTGGAAGATTATAGCAGGAAAGGATCGCACGCGTTGAGTCGGGAGGCGACTTAAGGCCTAAGAGCGAGATTTGTCCGACAGTAGCGGGAACGTGACTGCACGCGACGCGATGCTGTTCCACGGTTCGCTTTAAGAGGCTCATTGGGATGCACGGTCATACGCGGGGGCGCGGTTCGCACCTCGTCTAGATGAAATTACGATCCCTGGGGCCTTTCCCTGAAAGCATCGGTGGAAAGGATCTACGAATCAGATCCGCCCAGTGTACACAATTCCCCACCTCCAAGTAAATTTTACACTATCGAGGAATTGGGCCACAGAAGCTACTTTCGTGGCGACGACTATGGAAGTCGTTGGACACTACTACAGAATTCTCTCGATTATTGTCTGGCTTGTTCTACACGATTATTGTCCAGGTGTTATCCCCACCACTGGATTAGTTTTTGCCTGGGGCTTCGGGCAAAAAAACTAATTTACGAGGGTCTGAAGCATCCCTCCCTACATGATTATTGTCCCAGCGTGGACACGAGTTTGTGACAAGAATCGAGACGAGTCTGTACGAAGACTGTTGGGTTGCAATTAATTATCCTAGGTACTCTATGTGGCCCGAGCCTAAAAAAGTTGAATCTGGTTGGAAAGTCGGGGGTAAATCGGTCCCCAGGTAATGCCCACCCTAGCCCCAATCGTAGGGCTTTGCGAAAGCTAGTGCGCTTGAGCCGAGCTGGGGCCTTGGAGGGGGATACCGACATCCCCCTCTCCCGGGAAATTTATGTGAATAACTAACTAACTAATTATCCCACCAGGAGGAGCATAAAAAAAGATGAGGAATAGATTAACAATCACTCACCTTTCTGGCGAAGCACCCGCTGCAGCTGCTCAGGCGTGACCGAAGGACTGTTAACTCGTCGAAGGTCCTGCCATCTTAGATCACCGTACGGTGACATCACAAGATTGCACCTCGCGGCTGCAGGTGACCTAGCGTTGGCGAGATCCCTAGGCAGAGGCGGTAGGGGTCTGTCAGCGTCGTATTCCGATTCAGGATAGTGTGCAGGATCGCGTCGATCATGGGAGAACACGGAATCGGTGTCGGAGGTACTATCCTCGCTTCTGTGTCTCCTAGTTGGTGGTTCTGGAGCAGGTCCATGCTTGGTTGGCCAGCTACCAGCGGGCAGGTCCTGGCCAGGTGGCAACTGATTTGAGAAACTGACCCTCTTCGCACCGCCACTGGTCCCATAATCAACGGAGTCTCCGCCTACAAGGCTGCCCCTCTTGAATATCGGATGAGGCGCCCCCTTAGAATCGTCGTTCACATCTATGTAGCTAGTCGGCTCCATCTTCCTCTGGGTCACATGCGGTTCGCCCCGATGGAAATGGGGGGAAGCACTTTTGGACCTCTGAGCCTCCAATCTTGGAGGGTCTAGAGGCTTGGTCTGCATTTCACGGCGATTCTGGACAGCCTGCTGCGGTCTGACTATTAGCACTGGCTGGTTTGGACCCTTCTGGCTTTGCATCAGCGGTGGCTTGCCGCTGGGAATTCCCTTGGCTCGCCGAAGATTCTCTGTCCATTGTTGGACGGGATACCCGAGGGATCCTTGCCTGGGCCTGGAGGGGCTCTTCGAGCAGCAGGAACTCTCCTCGGCCAGGTTCTGTTCGTAGATGCGTCTCTGCAGCTCCTCGTCTAGTCTCTTCAACTGTTGCCAGTACACGGCCTCTCTGACCTCGGGTAGATCGATCTTCCGAGCGATCTGCCCTGAGTTTGCGGTTCCTGGAGAGGCCAGCGACTTCCTGTGCGCCTCCAGAGCCTTCTGTTGCCAGTAGAACGCCTCCAGATGCTGTCTGGTCTTCTGCTTCGATGGGGAGACAGCCTCCCTTTGCACGTATACCGGTTCTGGGATCCTTTGAACGTAGACAGATGACTCATCGACAGATCGAGCGGAACCAGTAGTGGATTCTGGGTGACCTGGACTGGAAACCGGAGATTTGTTCTGCGCAGCCGGAATCCTGGATTTCTGAACCTGAACCTGATGACACGGGCTCTTCGTTGGCTGCTGATTAGCGCCTCGATCGGTCTTCTCGATCCGTGGACTAGGTCTCTGTGGGCTCTTCACTGGTGACGATGTTCTGCCCTGAATCCAGGCTACCCTATCATCGCTGTCCTTCTTCTGTACGTTAGGTCGATGACCTACAGGCTGACTGGCCACGTTTCGTTGAACGTAGACTGGTTCAGGTCGAGGTATCCCGGGGGAGAAGCTCGGGGTTGACCTCTGTCCCTGGAAGATTGTCTTCGTTCCAGAGAAATCCTGGCTTCCAGGGGAATCGTAGCCTCGTGCCTCCACTGTTGATGGCAGTCTGAGAGGCGAATTACCGATGTTCACAGGCGACTCGATTCGTCGGGTCTCGTTGGTCGGTCTTGGTATCCTCGTTTCGTAAGCTAACTCCCTCTTTGGGGAGGCTATCAAGATCTGTTCATTCGGTTGAGCTCTCTTGGCCTGGGCTGTCAAACCCCTAGGCGACACCTGTTTCCCTTGACTACCGCTAGGTGAACAGGGAGCACCTTGAATCGTGGTTTCCAGAGTCCTCTGGCTGTCCTCCAACTTCTCTGTACCCTGGGACCCCTTCGAGGGACTCTGATTCGAGGTGTTCCCTAGATCAGTGGGCTCCTCCCTGGATCGTTCCAGCTGGTTCGAGTTGGTCGGTGTGGAACGATCGTCGCAGGGCGACAAAGGCGTTTCATCGTAGATCCTGTCGTCCATGCACCTGGTGGACGACCTGGACGGCGACTTCTCGTTCACGTATACCTCATCCCTTTCGTCCAGGTCCTTGCCGTTTGTAGGAGATCCACTGTTCCCTGGCGAGTGGAGATAGTACTCGCCGCTTTTCGAGCTGGACGGCGAGAACTCGCTCTTCTGGCTGGAATTGGGCGTGCAACTCGAGTCCGCGTACTCCCCAGACTTCTGACTGGACCCTGGAGAAGAGTACTTCGACGATCTGCCTACCAGCGGAGCCTTGTGATTCTGGTTCACTATGGGCTGCGTGGTGATCTTCACTTGAGCAGAGACCGACTGTGGCATCAGCCCGGAAGCATTATGGTTCTCGTACAAGCTACCACCACGTACATTCGAGTAGTTCGACTTCGCCTGGACGTACACATTATGGCCGTACTCGATCGCCTCTCGTGGATCTTCCTCGAGGAAGTTCTCGCAGTTCAAGTTCGTTCGTGAATGCGGTATCGCCGGCAGAGGCCTGTCGATCGGATGGATCGCTCTGGGTCGTACCAAATATCTCTCGTTGGGCGGTGCAGAGATTCTTCCGGAAGGTCCGTGATTTCTGTGGAAGAAATAACGGTTGTTCGGCTCCTGGAGGCTGTGCTTTCTTTCCAGCTGGCCCCTCCCGACCTCCTCCCGCTTCTGCCTCTGCTCGTACTTCCGGATATCCGGGGATATTCCAAGATGGGCGTTCCTCTCCGCCCAACGGTCGTCTGGCGCTATGGAGCTGAGACTGGAATCCGTGGTGTAGGATCTAGGCGGGCCAGTTCGATCGCGAAGCAAGGCTCGATCATCCTCCCTGGCCAGATAATCTGGAGTGCTGGTTATAGGGCCTTGATCGGGGAACAGCTCTCTCTTGATCTCGTCCAGCCTCTCCTCTATCATAGATCCGTTCAGACTGTTGTCCAGTTTCACGTTTCTCTTGATGTCCTCGTTCAAGTTCATCGTGTCTGGCGATCTAGTGTAGTTCCCGTTCTGCTGGTACCTGGCAAAATGTCGGTCGTCCTGCCTCTTCTTTTCCTTCGATTCCTTCTTCTTGTAGTCTTTCCGCGAGTCTTTCGGCGAGAAGAACCCAGGCAATAGCCGGCGGAGACCAAGCTTCTTCTTCTGCTTCTCCTCCTTCTTCTTGGACGTGGTTGCCGCCTCCATGGTGAATTCTTTGATCAGGCTCGCGTAACCGTCCCTTCCCGGTGATGATCTTCTGGCGACAAATAGATCGATGGAATCGGTGGAGGACGCTATCCCAGATCTAGAGTCTGTATTCCGATGTTGCCTCTTGCGTCCTATGCTCTGGCTCTTCCACTGACCGTCAATCCTCTCGAGATCCACCATTCGCTCTTGGTCGACGTCATCGATCTCATCGTCGATCTCGGCGTTCTCGATATCTTCGTCCACAGCCTTGATCCTGTCCTCTAAACACGAATCAGAGTCGACGGTGCTGATGTCGGTACTGTCCACGGTCAAAACCTCCTCGGATGTTTGCCTCTCTGTGATCGAGTCTTGATCCTCCTGCAGTCTCTCCGGGTACAATGAGGCGCCACGATCCTCCCCGACGCTCTCCCTGGATGAGACGCTTCCGAACTCCTCCACGTAGGAGGATTTCGAAGACTCGGAGGATCTACGTCGCTCCAGGAACTCGCCCGACCACCGTTTCTCGATCTCAGACACCTTCTTGCTATAGCCAGGCTTCACCGTCTTCTCGATCCCTTCCCCGTTGATCACGCGATCCAGCTCGACCGCGCTGTCGTGCTCCTCGATCTTCAACTTGCTGTCCAGACTCTGCTTGCGCAGGAACTCCTCGTCGAACTCGCCCAGTGGTTTCTCGTTCGCGTTCGAGTCGACGAGAATCGGCAGCTTGGCACGCAGGTCCAGCAGCTTCTTGTAACTGTCCGCCGTGTTGGCGTCTATCTTGGTGGTCAGATTCTGCTGGAGTACCTCGATCTTGGACTGGCTCTTATCCAGCCTGTTTTTTGCATCCAGGCCTTTATCCTGTTTCGTTGATAGATCTTGCAGGCCGTTATCCGAAGAACCTTTAAATTCTTCCTCTTGTCTTACCTCAGCCGAATCTGTGGTAGTCTTTGAACGCTCTGAGCCTGAAGAATCGGGGAGAACGTTCTTCGAGACCGGCTTGTCAGGTATCTTTGGCGGGATCTTGGTCCTTTTCGGGCTAATGACCACGATGCTGCCTATGGAAGGGCTTTTGGTCAGCCTTATAGGCTTGATCCTCTTCTCCAGGCTGGCCTCGCGACTCTTCGACCCAGTTTCATTGGACGGAGAGCCAACAGGCAGGTTGTCCTTCAGCAACGCTTCTTCTGAAAGCGAGCAACGATTCTTTGCGTTCGTGGATCCTTTTCGATCGTTTCTGGAGGATCTGCTGAGCTCAGACTTTATCGAAAGCTTCCTTGAACTTTCATTCTTCGTCAAGAGCACTTCTCGCGACCCGGTCGACGATTCCAAGACGTACTTCTCGAGGGTGACCTTGTCCACCGAGAGGACACGAAGCCTCCCGGGATCCTCGATCTTCTCTACAGATTGTTGATGGTCATCGATCGGTTCCTCTACCGCCTCCATTCTTCTTCAGCCGTATACCTCCGTACGACGACGCCTGAAATTGAAAATACACGAGATTGTTCCTGGTCCGTGCTGGACGATCTACCTTCTCGAAACCCATTGACTGCTGAGTCTAATGCAGATCGAAATCGAAGTAATCTCGGCATAAATATCTTCGGTACCCTCCATTTAACCTTGGAGTACAGACCGTCGGTAACGGCGACTGGATCAACTGTGACCCCTACCAATAACTCGAAATATTCACTTCGTCAATTCATAAAAAGTCTAAGAATTGTTTTTTTCGATAGGTCACCGATGACCTGGCCATAGAAAAGAAATGGTTAATAACGTACCATAAATCTGATTAGTTTTCCCAGAAGATAATTTATAAATTGGATTTGTATTTGACCTGGAATTATTCACAGGTACAGTTGTGAAGATAAAAAGAGATATTGAAGATTTTCACAATCCAATATTCGTTATTTCCGTAATTTGCATGGAAAATTTTATCTGAATTTCAGCGCCAGCAGTGCATACCACATGCCAAGTAAAGTTCGCCGGTGTAACCGCAAAACAGTCCGTGTAAAACGTAACGGGTGCACAAAAGGCTCTCCCGTTCGACAGCGAAAAACGGTTACGAGCGTCGAACGGTTACGCGGGGAGGGGGGGTCGGTCACGGTCGTTGCTCCTGGCAGCTTTACGCGGTCGGTTCTTCCGCTCCGCGCCGGCGAAGACGATGACCGCGCTGGGCTCGGGCGTCTCACTCCTCTCTCTTTACGGTTAACGAGTTTAGACTGTTTTCCCTCGAAAAATCGTCTCGCACGCCCGTTCGCGACTATGTATACAATTCTAATTCGGTCTGAAGCAGCCCTTCAGACAGTATGTGGCTCGGCACGTCTCGTCGATAAACACTGACGACAAAACAAATAATCGTCGAATCATAATTGTCCTATTGTCGCCCAAGAACAATCATGGTACGATGATATTTCTTTCTTCATAATTTATAGATAACTGTGAGACACCAATAGCCTGTTAACACTCGAATACTAAGATCGATTTTAAGGTCGTACTTGGTAAGGTGAGGTCAGATCCGACCCGATCTCTTTTTTGCTACTTTCAAACAGGTAAAAAAGAGTTATTATTTTGAACTTGTATTATAAATTTGTATTTTTCAATAATAATTGAGTTATGTAACATTTAAATACGGGTACTAAACATGTACTAAATACTACAAAATATTTTAGAACGATAATAATGAAAGAAATAATAAAAAAAGTAGTGTGGAGACAACGCAGTAGGAACTATAATTCGGGTCGCATGTGACCCAGACCTTACCGTTAGAGGGTTAATAGGTTACTTTTTATTTCAGAAGAAGAAATTGTGCCCATCGTCGCTAAGGGGTGACTTAAAAAAATCGTCCAACCACCATTATTTTCCTATGGAAACCAGACCTATCGAACTCGAGAACAATGGTCCGACAATGTTTCCTTTTGTCACGATTTACCGATAAGGAGCAACGCGCCGTCTGAGACCGTTCCGGAGGGAAACCGGAGACCAAAAGCCGAGGAAATTCTTCCGGGGAAACAATCGGGGCCACCGGTCACGTAACGCTGGTAGCAAGACGGTAGCGGGCACGCACGACACGACTCCTGTGGATCGGTTTTCCCGTAATCACGGTAACGAGACACCGTCCAGCGAAACCGCGGCGTGGACATTATCCTGGCGCCAGTGTGTCGCGCACCGTGTTGTGCCGAATCCAAAACAGTCGTTTCAAAACTCACTGCTTGTGGATGTTTTTTATCGACGGGTCACTGGCGACTCGGCCATAGGACCTACGGGTTAGATGATGAGTTGAACATAGGGAACTATCTCCTTTCGATCTGAAGGGTTCACTTCCTAGAATTGACTAAAGACTGGTCTCATTCTATAGTAACTATTTCGGCATTCAGAGGTCCCCAGGTGACTTTTTAATGAGGTGATAGGTATGATAGATCAGGTTATGAAATATTTAATGTTCAGTGACGAGGAACCGTCGAACACTCATCGACGATTTACTGTATATCTTGAAGCTTCGTATGTTTAATTGTTTGTATCTTTAAAATTATCGATTGTCCACCCCTAATATTTCATATACATCATTAGGAACCTATGTACCATCATTCAACAAAACCCTATTAACATCAAAGTCGGACAATTGGGGTCCTTGTTCGAGGTACTGTACTCCAGATCGAAAACTTCTGAGAGTTCCTGTACGTACGTATGTGTAGGTACACGTGCATCGTTACGAGGATGACTCGCGAGGCGGATGTTTATATAACAATACAACGCGGAGCGTGGCACGCGCGTTGCCATGAACACACGTTCTGCTTCATCCCGATCGTAGAGGATCCGTCGAAAAATCGCGCGGACTCGAGTGTCGGTGAGTCCATCGATCGAGAGAGCAGCCAGCGCGGAACGAGAGGCACGAGGGAAACGCAATATTCGACGGCTGAAATGAATACTTCGCGCGGTGTTGACTTACGGCCGATTAGAAAAATACCCGCGCTGTCGGCGTCGATTACGTAAATGGTGCCCCCCCGTAATGGAGCCTGACGCAATCCAGGTTCGACCAGGCTGACGATGGTTAAAACGCGAGGAGGGGAACGGAGGGTATCGTGAAATGAGAAACCGCAAGATGTTTGACATGTGTATCGACTGCCGTGTGGATTCTTCAAGGTATTGTCAATAGGTCTGTATGACAACTACTGATGTAATCCCTTGGAGGAACTATGTAGATATTTGGATTAGCTGTAGAGACCCCTGGGATCCTTCTAGTCATGTATGGAGGTCATCAAGGATCTAGATTCTAGGTCCTTGACTTCCTCCATTAGGACTGTTAAGGACTTTCTGGTTCTTCTTATATACCATCTAATCTTTCGGATCCTTCTAGTCATCTGTGGAGATCATCTAAGATCTAGATTCTACCTAAGTCCTGAAATACCCTATTAGGACTACTAAGGTCTTTCTGGATATTCCTAGGTATTTCCATGCAAGAATACATGGTCAGAAATTGACCAAGACGATTCCTATGTCATGGAAATAAACGTCAGAATTTATTTACCATTTCTCGAGGTACCATTGCATGCCACGAAAGGAAGAGCCAGACAACGATAAGTCGAATACGAGGAGGAAAAACGAGATGCAGAAGACGGTATGTTAATAATCCCGAGTTAACGATCGACAGGGTCAGCTAGTTCAACGAGTCCCTGTACCCAGCGTTAATTATCGCCAGTTCTCGTTATCCCATTATCGTCGTTCGATACTATCGCGGCAGTTCGCTCCTTTTGCCTGTTGCCGACCGTCGGTTCGCAGGATGCGACCAGCTCCTCGATATCTGCAAACAGGCATCAATCTCGACTATGACGACGCTGCTTACGTAATCGAGGACATTCTATTCAGAAACGTGACAAAACGAGAAAATGAAAAAAAAAAAAAACTGGAACGAGCATCCTTTGAAATGCGAACAAAAAATTGTCGAGATATACAGTAAGAAAAAAAAAAAGTAGACCAGAAATTCTAATTATCAATTGACAATGCTGTTTTCAGTCTACAACTAAGGTAAAATTATTTCGTAATAATTTACCAATGAGTCATTGTGGACCCAACCTTCGGCGCCTATGATCCATACTCGAGTGGTTAAATAATTGAATCAATGAAAGTCAAGGTCCATCAGACCCCACCGATTCCGTCGACCCTTTCGTCCCAGGGACACACGAAGTACCCTAGGCACCATATCGCTCCAACGAGCTCACCGTATCTCCCCCCCCCGCCCCAGATAAGGTGGCCTCGGACGACGCGTGACTCGGCGAACCTAGCCCCTCATCGGTAAGTACTGACGAAAAAAAATATTGCGGTCATCATTGCATCGAGACCAGGCTTGCCGAACCGGAGAACGACCGTGGTTCGATCATGTTTTTTCTTTCGTTGACCATTTGTTGATAAAGTACCAGGCTCGTCTGAGACGGCGTGTTAACATATCACTGACCTGCAGCCTATTAACACTAGAACTACCAATTCATGCTATATTACATTAGGGTAAATTGTACTATATACTACACAGGGTGTTTCAAAAACAGGGTACATAAGTTTTAGGGCAGATAATACTAATTTTGCTGATTACAAAAAGTTTTCTATCATTTTTAGTAGTTTTTGAAAAATTTTCTGTATTATTATAAAAAATTGTAACGTTGAAACCATTCATTTTTCGATCCATGTTTATTAGGACTTCTTTTCACCATTTGACGAGTTCTATCTACCTAGAAGTTATAAACCCATTTTTTTGGATCACTCTGTATACATTACTGTATTATACAATGCAATTTAGTATACATTCAATAACGGTAATTCTGCTATTAATACGCCTTTCCAACAAGCCTATCAATCGTCCCGTAAACAAGGGTTAAGGAAAAAATAGTTCAAACGATCTCAGATGGCGCGTGGCTCGGCAAGTTAGTCCCCTAATCGGTAAGATTTAACGAAATCGCCAGATTATCGAACCATAACCATCGATATCAGTCTTGCAAAACACGATAACCACCGCGATTCAACAATTTATCTTTCAAATCGTACCAATGAGGGACCAAGTTCGCCGAACCACGCGCCGTGTGATGCCGCTGAACAGAAGACTCGAGTACTCACGGTGGCCGTGTCGCTGCACCCACCAGCAAAAAGCCGCTAAACGATCGTTCACCTAACACTAACACACACACACACACACACACACACACACACTTCGACCAATCCACTACCAGTGACCACCACCTAGCCCGCTGGTCCGATCCAGACTCTCAGTCCATCGATCGATCCCCATTGTCGTCCACTGCTAGACGTCCGGTCGAGTCATCTCTGTCCTCTCGCGATACGTCATCGATAATTGCGTCCGATTAGCACGAGGATCAGAGGGGGAATACGATGCACCGCGAGTGAAACGAAGAAAGAGACTAACACGGATTCTTCGGACCACGTGGTCGTCCCTGGATCAC